CTACCTTGTACCTGAAGTAATGAAAGTGGCAAATTACTTGTTCCCTGAGCAAACATGACAGGAATATCATAGAGGGAATTTATATATATGCAAATGCACAGGGGTCACATTGGTGTTATTTTTACAAAGCAACCTTATTCACCAGGGGGGCATTTTTAAATCTACATCAGTCTACTCTGGAAAGGCTGAATAAAACTGCAAATACCTTCATTGTGTGGGATGTAGCAACTAACACAACTAATAAATAATGTACGATTCAACACGGTAGAGAAGATAATTTAAATGACTGCATTATTTCTGTACAAGAGACTTGGGGTCTCAAGTGATTTCTACTTCTCATTTAGACTTTTTCTGAAGTAGCAAATAAAATATTTGTCATAAAAAGAAAACTAAGAGGATGTGGGACTAATTTTCTATCAGATGTTTGTCTCTTAAGCATTTTGTCATGATTCAGTAGAGAAATAGGCTTATGTATCTCTTTGTGAACATTTGCATTTACAGGGTTTGTGTATTTGCAAAAGGGAAATGGACCTTACAGTGAAATTTCCCACATATGTAAAGCAGGAATGAAGGAATTTTGAACAACTTCAGAGAATCTGTTGTATGTAAATAAAACAAAAACAAGGAGCAACAGAGAAAAATCCTGTTACTCATAGGAGACATGAGAATTTTATTTGTGTATAAGCTTTTAAAGGAAATATAAAAGCTATTTTTTCCTTACTGTTTTTACTCCTCAACAAAAAAGAACATGAGTTTGTGCTTCACATAAAATCAGAAAGTAAGGCTGTTCAGCACTGGTTGCACAATATAAGGTAATTCCCATGGGATTCTCCTTTAATTCTGAACTGTTGGCAAGGTGCTTGATCTCAGGGTGCACAAAGAAGGAAGAAAGTAGAAATGTAAAAGCTTATGGATGCTACATTGAAAATACACATCTGTGCATGGCATTTTCAGTACAGCTGAATAGTTGGACCTAATCTGCTGTTGAAAGTGGGCTGACAGCGAGGTGGAGCAGTGACCAGGAGAGCCTGTGCAACACTGGAGTGTATTCACAGTTTGCTGTTGTTGAGCCACACAGGGCAGGGACAGGGGTTTCTACAGACGTGGCAGCTTGTGAAACTCCTCTGCAGCATCAGATATGGTTTCTCCTTTGAGTTTCTCTGCAGTTTTTTTGTCACTAATCACCAAAACATTCTATTCTTGAGTTCATTATACCAGACTAGTGTTAGTATCATGGAGTGTGCTTCAGGGAAAAGAAATCTTTGGGAGCAAAAGTAACAAATCCTATGAATGAATCCTTGTGATATGGTGTCAGTGAAGAGCTGGGCACAACAGAGCCCAGCTCACACTCAGACACTGCCTGTTTGAATTATGTGGGTGACATATTTTTGTTATATTTTGAATGTGTTCCTGAACCACAAAAGGAGCTATCTTTCTTTTTTTCTTGACTCAAAGCACATTATAAAATGAACTCAAACATGGCAGACTTTCATGTCCTCTTTTGTGTGAAAGTGCAGAGCATTCCTTCGGTTTATTTCCAATATGTTAGGTTGGAAACGGAAGGAAATTCTTTGTTTCACATAAAGCTCATGTGAAAAATTGATTTTCATGTATAGGTGTTTCCTATAGCATGGCTATTCTCTGCTTTGATCAGCTTTGGCTTATGTGGCATTATTGAAGGGTGGATGGATTCTGCAGCAAAGAAAGTAAATAAAAGAATAAATGTCTCTACAATGAAAATTACGCAGGTTAATATCTATAGTTTGTCTGTGGAGCTCTGCATCACCTCTAGTAAAAGCAGAGATCATTCCAGAGCTTATTTTTCCTACTTATCACAGCCAGTTATGTTAGTGTAATAACAGTACTGAAATGGTCTCAATTTTATTTCCTGGCTGCGCTTACCCAACCTAGATCAGGGTTGCAAGAGGCTAATAGTTGCTTCAGAGCTGAGGTCAAATGCTACCTAGTCCAAGTGTGTTCTCAGTGCCCTATCATGGACTGTTTTGCAAATCCATAACAAAATAACCAGCATCAGGGTTTCAGAGCCCAGGTGATAATGCATGCAGTGAGATACTGAGCATATCTCATGGCCTTTCTGTCCTCTCCTTCTTTTCTAGCTCCTGACTCCTGTTGTCAATGATGTGCACTCATCCGAACCTCAGCTTCTTGGAGTGCAACCCCTTCATTTTTTGTTTCTAGGGCTGTATTTGTACAGTGTGGTCCTTGTGTGTATCAGGACTGCTCCTAGCAGAGAATTTCACAGCTTTGTGCTTATGCAGCCTCTTGTCGGTTCTTGGACTGACCACTGGGAGTGACAATGCACACCATCACAGGTCTGGGTCTAGGTTGTATAGTGTAATTACTTTGAAGGTTGACATCATCTTCCAGCTTTTTCTATTTGAACAACTGTATGTTATGAATACTTTAAATAATGAGGGTTTTTTTGTAGTTATTCTGCTGGTCTCTGAACTATTAGTTCCAAACTTCTCCTTGCACTGATTTTTCTGTTAATTATATTTATTATGGGACTACTATTAGACAAAGTTCAGATTTTTGTCCTTCTGAAGGTGAATACCACTAATAACTAGTGCAGAAAAATGTAATAAGCTTGTGGTGCAGAAAGTGGTGAATAGTTTTTCTCATTATTGGGAAACCTAGCAATGGCAATGAGCCCAGATTTTCTGTGTCAAAGCCGAAACCCTTCCCTTACTTTGCAGAAAACAGCCTCACTCAGTGGTAGCTTACTCCTTTTTGGTGTGCTCAGCTGTGTGCAGGGGTTTGTATCTTCACTCTACCATGCATCCCGCGGGCTGCTGTTCTCAGGCAGAGAGGTTGGTTTTCTCTCTTTCCCCTGCTATTACTGTTTTCTTGATGCATTTGCATTTTTTTGATGTGCATTTGCTGCCAGTCTCACAGCACAGTGAGGGAATCTGGCATCAGCAGAATACAGGAAGAAACTGTATAAGATTCAACTTTGCTTTAATGGTGCAAGTCCCACTGGGTTTTGAGCAATGTTATGTAGGTGAGGAAGAAATATTTGATTTAATGAGAGATGACTTGGCACCAGCAGCATAACAGGTGCAGTATGAGAATCTAGAGTGAAAGAGTTAATTCATATTCTTTTCACAGAGATAGATGTGAAAGAGCATATGCTGAATGTGCATTCTAGTATCTTTTTTTTTTTTTTGTTCTTATTTACAGTGACAAATAATGTATTTCCCTTTAGCTTTAAGTGGTTCATAAACCTGGAGCTGTTGATGAATATGCAGTTTACACTCCAAAGGCACTGGAGTCAGTGCAAGAAGGCAGACCTTAGAGTGGTTCACAGCACACTGTGATCTCTGCTGGGATTATTAATCAGTCAGGCTTTCAGCAGGACATGCACCATCATGGCTACAGCACTTGCTTATTCCTCTCTCCTTTTGTTTGATAAATGTAATATCTAAACCTCTGGGAAACACATAATAAATGTGTGACTTCTGTAAAAGAATGCTGAGCTCTGTTTGCTCTGAATTCATGTTTAAAAAGGTTTGGAGCACTCTTCAGTGGGTTGTTAGTTTCAGTCATGTTTTCTTACACATAGCCTCCTCATCAATCTCCTGGAGAGCAAGATTGGCTGTTCTGGGGGAAGTGGTCTGGTTTCAATTCTGGAAGTCAAAAGTGGAGTTGTGGGGTGTTTGTTGCCTTATCAGCATGTGGTATTATATTTGAAAGACATTTGATGAAAGGAGAGGAATTGTTTTGAAGAAGGGGAAAACAATTTGGGACTTTCAACATATTACTGGTTAAATCTGTATTACAGCAGTCTGCATTTCAGAGTTGTGGTTGTCCAAGATAGCACTGTACACAAGCAGAGGAGAAGAGATGCACTTGAATTCCTTTGGGTTTCTTATGAGCATAATGGGAGACAAGTGTGCAACCATAATGAAGCAATGCATTTTTTTCTGCTTAGAAAAACAGCCTAGTTCCAGGCATAACAATACAGCAATTTTGTTCAAGTGATCAAATTTTCAGCTTTTCTAGTAAAAATGGTTTGAAATAGTTATAATTTTTCTATTGACCTATCAGCAGAAACATGACCATTGTGTAGAGCTGTTTCATAGCCAGATCTCTAGGTTTCTTCCACAGGGAAGAAGTGAGAGAAGGACTCATTACTGTACTTCTTGCCACTCTCTGCACAACTGTAATCCTTAAGTTCAAGCCTACATGCTTGAACTTGTCTTTTTGGCAGGTGGAGGGGTATTTTGTCTTTGGAGGAGGCTACTGAGAAATAAGTCGTGTTATCTTGTGCTTGAACCACTCTGGTGGCTTACTGTCACAGTGAAAACATCACTGAGCGAGATGAGGGGAGCTCTGTGCAATTTCCCTTGGTGCAGTAAATCAGATATTTTCATTACCCAAAGGTAGTGAGGAGAGAGGGTAGTGAATCTGCCCTGCTCTACTTCATGTTTCCAAACCATTGAAGTCTTCCTAACAGGATTTCTCTGCAGGAGGACTGGGACATGAACTGAAGGTCTATTCAAATCTGTTACTGCCTTAGGACTTGTGGGCACAATCCAAAAAGAGCTGCAATCCCAAAAGTTAAAAACGCCACTGTATGATCAGTGACAGCTGCACTACCATGACTGGCTGCAGACACAGTGGTGGAACTGCTCAGTTTATCAAAACCTGCTCAGAGATGCATGGGTTCATCCTTCTTGCCAGCTTTGAAGTCTGCTGTGCTTGTGAACAACATTTGTGCCCTGAGAGAAATGATGATGCTGAAATCTCCTGGTCCTGGAGATTCCTCCACACTAGGGTGGAGGAATGCTCTCTGACCAGGGTGGGAGGTTATGTTGCTGCTTTATGTACCTCATTTAGAGCTAAGCAGAATTTAAGACTTTAGGATTGTGGGCTGGACACTTATAAAAACTTAGTCAATTCTCCTTAAATTAAGAAAAAATATGTCTTTTTAATAAATATTAAGATAAATATTTAATTTTGTGTCTTTTTGTTTTCAGGATGAATAAGAGATACTTACAGAAAGCAACAAAAGGAAAACTGCTAATAATAATATTTGTTGTAACACTGTGGGGGAAATTAGCATCTGGGGCAAATCATCATAAAGGTAAGAAATTATATTCTGTTTATCATACTGTTGTTGTACCTGTGATCTCCATCAATAAATTCAGAAGGGTCTGGTCTATGCAAGCTTTTCTCCTTATGCATATTTGTGTCTCCTGATACTGGTTCACTAATCAGTGAATTAGCATTTCACTAAATGCTAAAAAATAGTAGTAAAAAAAAAAAATAGTGAGTACTCTTTGTCTCATAAAAATAGTTATATCAGCAGATATATATGATGCAAATGAATTCCTGGAATGAACCCTAAAAAGAAACAATTTTTAGCAGCTTATATGATGCTTCTGTGTGCAGTTATCTACCAAGATTAACTTCATGGATAATGTGTATTGAATGAGATTGTTTCATCGTCAAAAAAAGACTGCTGTTTTGCAGTATTGTCTGATTTCTTTGTTTTGCTCCTAACATCTGAACAGAAACTTTCTGTGGCAATGTGAGATTTGTTTCCTCTTGGTCATCCAGCACTTAATATGTATGCATACATACCAGCACAAGCTGTGATGGATCATTTAATATTGTAAAAAGGTCTTTTTTTCTATGTGTGTTTCTGTTAATCCTAACACAAGGAACAAGCTCTCTAGATTAACAATTAACAAACTAATGCCTTCTTATAGGCTAATAGGACTTGAAATGAGATCTGCAGTATAACAGGATTTTGAGCTCCATTTCTCATTGTCATATAGTGTCTATTGGCTGTTTCTCTGCTTATACAATATCAGAATAAACTCTAACAACCTGGATAAAGCAAGGGTGGAACATGAACATTACCACAAGCTAAGGTGTTAAACCCAGAGGAAGGCTTCCAAAAAAACTCAGTTAGTTAATTTCTCTGGTTCCATGTACATTTTACAGTGTTCAGTCTGATGATAGGAATTTTATGAGCAGGTATTTTTATATGTCAAGCTGCTAGATATTGTTCTGTTGTGTGAAGATACCTTTCTTCAAAATGACCCACTGATTAAGGACTTCAGGATGCAGAGACACTTATGTGATGTCTTATACAAGTTGCAATTCGTCTGCAGACAAAACAGAATCTGATGTGGTCCTGCAGGCCACCAGGTGGGTGTCGTGCCAGAGAAGAACTGTGCTGATACCTTTTTCTCAGCCTTGTTCCCTCTCCAAACCAGAATACAGATTTCTGCTGTGGCTTCCCAGTTTAGTTATCCTGGCCTGCATTCAGAATTCTTTTGCTTTGATTATTTCTCTTTAAACATCCAAAAAGCCGATATCCAGACCATTTTTATTCCATGCGCCACGGCTGGTCAAGCAGTGTTTGCTTCTGTGGAATTCAAACTTTGCCAAAGTATACTTGCTGTACTTTTTGGAGAACTCATGAGTAAAACCTATCACCATGTATTTCATAGAAGCAAATTATAACCATGAGAACTATTTTGGAATTTAGTGCTTGATAATTGAGAAAAAAAAATCCACTACCAATTGTAGATTTTCTGTGTGAGGGAAACCCCAGCAGAACTATACCATTAATTACCTGTACAGTGTTTGTGGTTTAAGCCTCAGCCTTAGAGCAGAGATAACTTAAGGAATAGTTTTTTATAGATTTAAAAAAAAAATGAGCCCTCCTTAAAAATCAGATTATTAGCTGTAGAGACTTCTTGGTATTCCTGCAAGCTAACAAAAAGTTCCTTTTTCTTTAATTTGTATATTTTCATGCTTTTAGCAAAATATATGAAGAAGTTTTGTAGGAAAAAATAATATTGAGTAGCATGACTTGAGTGTTTAATTTGGAAAAGCTACTACTTTACCTGTTCAATTTCTTTTTGAAAGAGAAAACAATCAGAAATATTTTGGCTTATGGATTTAGCAAATCAGCAACACTCACTATATTGGGGATTTTTAAAAAAAGCAAAAATCAGAGTTATGCAGCTCAATTACCATTGATTTCCAAAGATACTGGGAATTTGAATTCCCACTGTGTCATAGCAGATCCTCCCCCTGCTCTCATGGCAAAAACGGAGCTAAGACAAATTGAAGAACTTGATGCTGCTCACCTTTGCATGGAGTTTCCAAATACTGAGAAACATGTGAGTTTTTTCAGCACTAATTATCTCTAACATCATTAATCTTAATTTATAGAAGTCCTTACTAACATATTGACATGACAAACCCTAAATGACTTTGAAGGATCCCGTACAATTCCAAAAATCAATAATCTGCATTTAAAAAAAAAAATCTTTACTTTCCTATTGACTTACTCATATTATTCACTAGTTGCACTAACTTTCAAACCCATCTCTTTTTCAGAAAGCTATTGTTAAAGAAAAGAAAAAGTACAAGAAGAAAAAGATCATCAGTGTGTGAAAAATTGTTTAATGAGCATTCTGTTCTCCAGGCAGACTTCAGGAGGAATATAAACAGATGCCTCTGACAGGCTGTTTGTAGGGTTGTTGTGCTTATTTCTGGGATATAGCACAAATGAAAACTCCCAAGTCAGCAGCAAGAAAAATAGAGGCCAAGGCAGGGCATGGGAAACAAGGCTCTGAGGACCAATTGAGCAACAGGGTTACAAGCTGGGATTTCAGATTACATCTTTTCAGTGTAATGTGTGTGGGTGCCAAATCCACCCCTCTTTCTCTTGAGGATACTGCTCCTATTGTCTTG